AGGGTGGCACCGTCTTGATAGGCCTCCTTTTTGGTTTATTCTCAGATCTCTTTTGGATGAGCAAGGATTGTGATCTCTGAGTAGCCTGATGGCCCAAGAAAGAATAGGGAGGCCAGACAGGGCCTTGGGCCCTGGGACAGACACCTTTAAAAGAGAACTACCTGTCACCTGTGGCCTGCCTCTGCTGTGCAGTTTGGGCTGGTCGTACTATAATGATTTCATTAGCAGCCAGAGTGAACACAGCTTGGAGCAAAGGGCTTGCGCTCCTGCATGTTGACATGACAGCCACCTCCAAGGGTGACGTAGCCTTTGCCAGGCCGAGAGCCTTCAGAGCAAGAAGCTAATGTCACCATGTTCCCCTTGGGTGAGCCCCGGATGGTGTGGTTCAGTCTGGTTCTCGGCTCTCCACAGTTTTCTCAGCCTCTCAGAACCTTGGCGACAGGCAAGGCCTGGTACCTGATGGAGCCCGTATAGTTCACCTAGACACCCGGAGGATGAGGTATATCAAAATCAGGGACACACGATTCCACTCACCTTGCTTCTGGGTCATGTTTCTCCTCTTACTACCTCGCTGCTCCTGGAACACTAGCCCAGATAGATGGCTAGAGTTAACCTCCATTTGAACTGTGTGATTGTGCCTCAGACCTCTTCCAGATGGTGAGGTTGTTCTGTAGAATGGGGATGGGACTGGAAGTCCTTAGTGTAAGGACAGAGATGAAAAAAAAGGAAGTCACTGTCCTGTGTTTTATTCTATCCCTGGGTTTTCACCAGGAAGACCATCCCGGAACTATCAAATATGAAGTATTAGTGTCTTACCTCTGGTGAGCCTCTGCCTCCTTTCCTCTGCCCAGTTATCCAGAAGGCAGTGGATGGGTCACAACTGGGACTCCATCTTTTCTGTGAAGGGACTCCTATCCAGGGGAGGGCTATCTACTCCATGATGGTTCCCCTTGGAGCAACACCCAGGGACTTTCTGGATGCAATGCCATACTAAATGTGTAAGCACCTTGAAGTGTGAGAACATGTCCCCTCCTCAGCTCTCCCTCTCTGTGCTCTTGGTTGATTGTTTCCTGCTTTATGTCTGTTCTGAGTTTCCACTGTGAAATATATAAATAAAGTTTATAATTTTTCCATTATTTATTGTATCTGTGGTTATGCCCCAGGGGCAGGGCCAGGCTGCAATAGTTCGGGAAGGATGTCAGAGCTGCTCTTGGGTTGGGGAGAGATGCTGTCGGAACATCAGCCTGGCCCTGGTTGGATCCTGTGTTTGGACTCTTCCAATGTCTTCCAGTGACTCCTGTAAGATCTTTACCAGCACAGCACCCCCAAAGCCAGACTCCAAGAGCCACTATTGCCACCTCTCCTCCTCAGTTCCTTCTCAACCCTCCCTCACATCCCCTTGGTCCTAGAAAGGAGCAGAGCAGGCACATGGTAAATCCGATCTGTGTCAGCTGTCATATGGAGACCCTTAGCTCTGGAGACACAGCTCCAGGCTCCCCACGTCCTCAGGCATCCTGACTCAGCCTGAGTCCAGCATCTGTGCCCTGTGGCTTCTTCCCCAAACCCCAGATGGTTCATGATGTCAAAGATGCTGCCTCGCATAGTGTTCACTCCTCTGCCCTGAAGTGGGGCCATGGCAGGAGGATGATGGATGTCGTCTCCCACATAAGAGCTAAAAGCTACTCTGCTTGGCGTTCTTAGCACATGTGTGTTTCTCCCTTGACACCATTTCTTTTCTTTCCTCTTCCCCATTCTTGTCTAACCTCCACCAGGGTCTTATCTCAGGATAGCCTTAAACTCGACATAGCTGAGGATAACCTTGACCTTCTTCTTTCCTCTATGTCCAGAGAGCTAAAATCACAGGCATGCATCACCACACAGCATATCATATGGTACCAGGGATAGAACCCAGAGCTTCCTGGATGTTGGGCAAGCACTCTACCAACTGAGTTGTAGCTATAGCCCTAAACACCATACTTAACATAAACTGTAGGTTCCTCACCATTGAACTCACATCAGCCTCATAGCTCAGCCTGCACAAACCTCCCCAAACATGCTCCCATCAGATGTCTTGTTGAGCTGAAGATATATCACAGATATGCAACCCTGTGTTCAGGGCTGCATGGCAGCAAAATTACGATGAAAATGCAAACACACAAAAGTCCAACTTAGGGAACTAAATAGCTGTGAGAAGGATTTGCCCAGTGTGTGCTGAACAGCAAGCAAAGCGCCAGCTGCTGGCCTCCACTGGGGATGCCCATTCGGAGCTGCAGATTTCTGCCTTGAGGTTGCTACAAACTTTAACAAGAGAAATTCACAAATCAGACATTGGGGACAGTAAGGAAGGATGCTGGCTTAATGTGTTACCCTGGGTAAAGAAGCTGGGATGTTTGCTTTGTTCGGGTTAGAAAATTTCAGTTTGGTTTCATTTGTGAATGACGCCGACTTCACCTGAAAGGTTACGACAAAAACAATGAGAAGAGGGAAACACTCATGCTCGTGTAAATACTATTAATTTTCTGAATGTAAATTAACCCAGTCTTTCATTAGATTGAAAATAAACATTGGCAGCTTCTCACAGCTGGGCAGGGAAGCTAAACCCAGCCTCGAAATGATCACTGGTTGGCTGAGTTTGGGGGTGACATTCCTACCCCAAGCTCATGTCCCTGGGTCCCTGATTTCAAAGCTATTTTCCATTCAGGCCAAGGCTGTGATTCCAGAGACATACCTGCCTGGTGTAACTCTGTCCAATCACAGTACAGAGGGGTGTCTATATGGTGTGATGTAGCCCAGTTCACTTGGGTGCAGTGTTTGGCAAAGGCTTTAATTTTTGTACCTGGAAAGAAGCCTTAGGTCTTCCCTCAGGGAGCTGCTAATTCATCCCAAATACATCAGCCTGCAATGGCAGTACCTGAGTCACAAGCTGGAATGGAACACTGCCTGACCTGAATACAAGGGTAGGTTCCCTGGGAGGAAATAAAGATCTGATAAGCCAGCACCCTTGCTATGTTCCTCTCAGGCTCATCCTCACCTGTCACTGGGCCACACACACACACACACCAGTTTCCTTCCTTGAGACCAGACTTGCTGTTGGGTGTGTGTGTGTGTGTGTGCTGGTTGGCTGGTGGCAAGTGTCTGTACCACTTGCAGAGGATTTATAGAAAGCAGAAGGCTCCCCTCATTGAGAACATCGTGTCCACAAGGCCTTTGAAACAACGTTCGTGTGGACTCCCATCATACAGCATGGTTGAGCTCCTGCAGCATGCCATCCCTAGTGTTCTGAAAAACCAAAGCATTTGACTGCATTCTGTTCTTATCCCCCCTTGCTACACTAAACCTCCTCACTTTGTAATGGTCACCAAGGCCCCAATCTTTAACATTCATCCTTCCTACCGTGAGGTCCAGGAGAAGATCAACTGCATGTTCCAGCATCATTGATAGGAGCATGTCACACAGGTAGTACACAGCATGTGACAATACCTGGGGCATGGCTGTCGTCCTGGGGGCACTGACAAGCTTTGGCCTGAGCCTGGCCTCTCCCAGTGCTGGAATCTCATAGAGGTGTCCTAGAGTTCTCATTCTGGGTTCTGATCACAAGGATAGACTCCAGACCCTTGTTCTTTATGGCCCAAAAGAGAACATCCTCCTAGCCCTTTGAGAGAGTCACACCCAGCAGGCTACCGCCACATAAACTCCCTTCTTTGTAGCATAAACTCTTGTCTGCCCCTTCACCCTCTCTGTATATCCAGGAAACCAGTGCAGCCAGGCAAACAAAGCCCATCTGATACTTGGATGCCTCTGAGTGTTCCTGATCCATCAGAATCTAATGTCCCTGGAAGATGGAGCTAGCTTGAGGTTGGGATTATGGAGGGATCTGGGCATGAAGAATTCCTCGGCCAGGCACTGCGCTGCTCTCAGAGGCAAGAGGTCAATTCGGTGTCAACTGGAGGGATACACACTTGAGTCAGAGATGTTTAAACTCCCTGCCTACCATATTTCCCCAGAGTCTTCTGTGATGGGAGGCTCAAGTACTTCATACCTATGGGATTTCCAGTGACCATAGGACTGGCAAGTAGTCAGTCCTGGGGAACCTACTGGTGTCATCTGGCCCGGTCCTTACAATTGGACATGGACAGTGGCCATTGTCTTCCTAGCATTACTCTTGTAAGCATATTCTAGAACCTTCCAAAGTCACTGTTGATAGAGTTCAAGGGTCAGAAGACATATAGGATGGGCTCTGTTTGGGAGGGGAGAGGGTGGTTATGCAGCTGGTCTGAAAGCACTCCCTCCCCTAAGGAACAGACAGTTCTAGAGACAGTGTTTCTGGAAGTCTATAAAAAGGACTCTGCTCCCCCATGTCCTTACTCATGTTTCCTAGAGAATGTCCCTCAGCTTCTTGTCCCTCCCCGACTGCCAGGTGTGTCTTCTTTCTGGGCCCAGCATTCCTGATGTTTTAATGTTCCTTCAGTGGACCTGGTGCTAGGACCTCTATTGGGCATCTGTCCCCAGCCAGTGCTGTGACCTGCACCCGAGGCTTCCTAACCTTCAAGGCAGGTCGTGCTGCGTGGATCTGGAGCTGAGTTCGAGGAGAGTTGGCCTGAGGGTGCAGCTTGTATCCACTCACCTCCCAGTCTGGAAGGACTCTGCAGCTCTCCTGTAGGGAGGGTATTGTTCCCCCCAGCTGACTTGGTCCTACTGGGTGGTTTCTCTACCCAAAGCTGGGCATGCAGAATTTCTCACGGCCTCTGCTCACATTGCGACTGCTTTGCATTCCCTGTGGGCCAGTACCCATGCGCACAAAGAATGCGTGTGTTCAACTCTCTGTCTTTCTAAGCTTGTCTCCATTTGCTGTGGTCCCCAATTCCCAAAAGAAGTTGGCTTTAGTGGTCCATATTTTTACCACTTGCCCTCTATCCCTGGCAGTCCTGTGCAACCCTTCCCCCAATTCAAAGTGAGTCAGAGAAGTGTCAAAAGTGGTTCAATAGGAATACAGTAGGCAATTCCCAAGACCATGGCTCATTTGTTCATTAAACTAGTAGGGTGCACAGAAACAGGTGCTAAGAAAGTAGAGGCTAATGTGGGAAAGGTTCTGAGGGTTAAGTCATTGTCATAACAGAAAAGTGGCATTGTCTACACATCTACTTCCTGTGTTTTGAGAGCCTCTTCTCCTTCCTCATCTCAGAGTGAGCAGAAAGCTCCCCTTTGCTCCTGATTGCTAACACCAATACCAGGTCAGAGGCTAAAGGGTAGTGGTATAGCTACCAGGAAAGGCAGGAGCCCTTCTGTCACTAAGTACTATTGTCCAGGAAATACGGGGAAGGACAAAGCCAGCTTAACCAGGGAATTTGGCTAGCCGGCGGCGAGCCTGGGACAGCCTTGACAGCCTCTCCTTCAGGAACTTCCTCTTCTCGCTGGTGTCATTGCGTTCCTTCAGGAGCCAGCTACAGGAATCCCTGTCCTGCAGGAGCTGGAGCATGCCCTTCTGCAGCTGCTCAGCAAACATTTTCAGGATGAAATACTGGATGATCAAAGGAATGTGGCTGGAGATGCGGTTGTGAGCTTCCTGGAAAAGGGAAACACAGAAGGCTTGAGGAAGGGGCAAAAGGAACCTGACACCATATATCTCTGAGTAGTGAGATCATGACAGATAAAGGCCTCAGCCCCCTCAGTGTCTTAGCAGAACAGGTCCAAGGTACCTGTTAGACTCTAGATCCCACCAGTTTCCCTGACCATCAATCAAATGGACTTTCAATGGATAAGAGTACTATTTACTGGAACATAATCCACAGACACACCCAACTCCATTCCAAATGGCTGGCCCCTCTACTGAGAACATTGCTTGCTGTGGGACAATGGTCTGTACCCTGTCACTTGTATTTTAAATAAACACTGATTGGTCAGTAGCCAGGCAGGAAGTAGAGGTGGGGCACCAGGCAGGAAGTAGAGGCAGGGCAATGAGAATTCTGGAAAGAGGAAAAAGATTTATTCTGCAGTCAACACCAGAAAGAGAGGAAGCCAGACACAGAGCAAGCAAGATGTGACTGCCTCGCCAAAAAAGGTACCAAGCCACATGGCTAATATAGACAAGAATTATGGGCTAATATAAGTTATAATAGTTAATAAGAAGCATGATCTAATGGGCCAATCAGGATACAAGTACACCATGTCCACAGCCCCCTGGGAATAGTTAAGCAGCTGTGTCACAAGTAAGAAGATTCCTGACAAGTGATGAGCACCTAGACACAGCTTGGGCACAACTGATGGCAGAACATAAGCTATGTGTTCTCTAACCACAGATAGTCCGGGTGTGGCCTGTCTCCAAACATCAATGGGAAGGAGTGAGGTTCAGAGGTGGTGGGAAAGAAAAGGCATAGAGACCCTGGATATCCAGATGTTGGTGCCTCAGGTGGGAATGGGGCCTTGGCTAATAGGAAAGGATGATGTCCGCAGACAAAAAACCCTGATTCATGCTATGATACGTATTGACATTGAGGTCAGTATGCTCTGAGAAACAACTGAGGAAGGCAGGATAAAAACTCCACTATTCCACTTGTTAAGATCCCTGGAGTTGTCAGAGTCCCAGAGACAGAGAGCAAACATGACATCTACAGGTGCATGGCCATAAGACCTAGGAGTCTTGTGGTTGGCCAGAAGACAAGTCTGGCCTTCTAGCAGTCAGTGGCAGAAGTCTGTACATTAGAAAGTCACCATTCCTCCCCTTGTGTGGTAGCTTCCAAGTCCCCATGGCTTTGACTGAGTAGGACCAGCTATACTTGGGTTACATGATGTATGCCCCACCAAACAGATACCAGAACCTGGCTTCCACTGGATGAGTACAAGGCATCCCAACACTGTGCTAAGGGCTCCACACTCTACCACAGGTGCTTGGGATGCTAAAACCGAGAATAAAGCTGATGTTCTAAGTCACACAGTCAGCGTCACATGGACCATAAAAGGCAAATGTCTGTGGCTCTAAACTACCTGTGCATCTAGATGAATTATAACCCAAAGGCTCACACAGAACTTAAGGATGACATTGTCCTGAAGCCCCTTTGCAGATTCATATCCTGCACAGAGAGACACACAGAAACAACGGGAACAGCCAGCAGTGGTGGCACACAACTTTAGTCCCAGCTTTGTGAGTTTGAGTCCAGCCTAGTCTACAGGGTGAGTTCCAAGATAGCCAGGGATACACAGAGGGAACATGTCTCGAAAAACAAACAAAAAGAACAACAACAACAGAAATCCCCAAGAAACAAAGGGAACAAATACCCTGAAACCCCATTCTAAGGTGTTCACACACTTACCTGGCGGTAGGCATTCAGATGCTGAAAGATCTCAGCCATTGATGAGTTCTGCAAAGCTTGAGAGGAAAAGGAGCTACTTGACTTTGTCTTATTCTTCTCCTCCTCGGCTTCCTTCTCTCTGACCTTCTGCAAAGCTCCCCTGTAGACTTGGTCCTGGCAGTAGATGATCTGCTCCATCTGAAAGTGAAGTCGGATCATCTTCTCCGCTTCCTTTTCTTGATCTAATCTAATGTCTTCGAGTTTGGACTGCAAGGAAAGAGAAATGTAGGCCAACATCATCAAGAAAAGCTTGCCACGGAGTAAGAACACAGGATACCCAACAGGTCCACAAGTATCTGGTCACCCAGCAGAAACAAGAACAGCCATTACCGGGGAGTAGTCCCTGTACCCCTTGGTCATCTCATCTATGTAGGGTCCTCCACACTGATGGTGGAAACCAGAGGAAGCCTAGGAGTGAGTAGCCCCTTAATAAAGGTCAACCTTCAGCATCAACTCGAGTGGATTTATTTTTAAAGATTTGTTTATTTATTTTATGTATTTGTTGCATTCCTTTGTGTTACCATATTCATGCAAGTGCCCACAGAAGCCGGAAGAAAGTTCTGGATCCACTGGAACTGAGGTTACAAATAGTTGGAGCCACCTGATGTGGGAACTGAACTCATGTCCTCTACGAGAGCAGTAAGCATTCTTAACCGCTGAACTATCTCTCTAGACTCTTGACTAGATTTAGAATCACTCAGGCGGCTTGTCTCTGAGCATGTCTGAAAAGGTGTTTCAAGAGATGTTTAACTGAGATGGAAGACCCAGTCTAAAGTGGGCAATGCTGTTCTATATACAGTTGGAGCTTCTGAACACCAGCACTTATTTTCAGAACAGAGCAACGTGACCAGCTGTCTCACATCTGTACTGCTCTGTCTTCTCGGCCACCATGGACTGTATCCCCTCAAACCATGAGCCTAAATAAATCCTTACTAAGTTGTTCTTACCAGTTATTTGGTCACAGTAAGGGTAGAAGGAATACACTTAGGAAGGGCAAGGGATCTGTATAGATTCTCAGCCCTGACCCAGCCGCTCTCCTTGCTGTTTTAGCCACTTTAACATCTACAATAAGGAGGCGACTTCTACCAGAAAGTGTGCAAATGTAAGAAGGACTCAGTTTAGGTCAGTCACCTCCTATGGGTGCCATGTCCTAGGCATTCGGGACAGCCTTAGCCTGGACTGGCTCCTGACTTGACCATTGCAGGGGCAATCTATGCAAAGTTCAGTGCTGGGTGTGTCTCCAATTGTACCTCTCATTTACCATACCTTCCAGGGAGGCCTCATCCTCCCACAGTGGGGACACAGGCCCATGGAACAACCCAGCTGTGGTGCCAGTGGCCACCTGCACAAGACCTGTGTGTCTGTTCTTCACCATGCCCTAGAAGGTAGAGGCATTTTCTCTTTGCTGCTGCATCCCTCTAAACAGACACAATTTCACACTTATGGTCCTCGCTGTTAGAATCACTATTAGAAACCAGCCAAGACTGCGGTGTCCCTAAGAATCCAGCAGCCCTTCCCTTTCAGGCTCACACAGAGCTATCCTGCCAAGCCAACACGCTACCAGACGCCTGGATTTCTCATCTTGGGAAGTAAGTTTTCTAAGACACATCATACACATCAAAGGGCATCAAAAGGCTACTGTGGGTATCTGGTGACCGTAGGGTTGTAAAACCTTCCCCTTTCCTCAGAGACTTGCAAAAAGGGATCTCGTCTGTTCTATGGGCTTGAATCCTCTTCAGACACCTGTCAGAGTGTCTCTGGACTTGGGGCCTGACTCTACTCAGAGCCACAAGTATACTGTCTGTGTGTCTGTCTGTCTGTCCACAACAAACAACTCTTCTAATAAATGTCTTACTTCCCACAATCTGTCTCAACATCACCCCTGAACCCCACATCTGATACCTTTCACTCAGTGTCAGGAGGGTCTTCCTTTGCATGGGCCCGTGAGGCTCCCTGACAGAGCCTCACCTGTGGATTTCAGCCTTCAGCTCTGTTTCTCCTTCTTTTCTTCCTCCTCTCCCTGCCCCTACGTTAGCCAGATAGCACCAGTAGCCTCATCAACAGCATGCAAGGAGGAGCTTAAGCCTTTCCCATACAAGCACAGTAAAGGAGACACAGTCTCAATCCTGAGCACCTGTTCCCTAACGTCATATTCATTATGCTTTAAAAACAACACACACTTGGTTTTACCTTGGTCGTTCTGTGGAGGTTAAAAAACTCATCAAAATTTTTTTCAGAAACTTTCGAAAAGGCCACTCGTACCATTTCTGATTGAAGAGAGAAAAAAAACCAGTTTAACATAGTAAGTGGTTGAGATGTATTCACTCTGTGTAGATGTAAAACCAACGAGGACAGGGTTGAAGGATGCAGGGGCTCTCCTGCTCCCTCCCTCCTTTCTTTCCTTCCTGCCCAATGAAGAGGGAGGTACACCCAGGCTTCTAGAGAACTCTCTTTAATATAAATATAGCTGCAGGCTAAGCATGGTCATCACTTTGTGCGAAGGACTCTGGTTTGTGCTCTTCACAGGATTGAGTTAAGGGCCCAAAAGGTTAGGCGACTCTGCCCTCTGACAGCAAATCCCTATACCCACAGACAGGATCAGAATGGACTGCATTTTTGATCACCACAGAAAACCCGCCCGCCCGCCTAGAACCAGCTCTAGAGCACAGCCCTGGTTGTCCCCTGTCCTAGAACAGTGACCCCGGGTAGCGCTCACCGGTGACCTTGTGCAGCATATCTACAGCTGGGTCTTCCAGGACTCTGATTTGGCTTCTTATGATGTTCTCAAACGTTTTGTAGTTCACAAAGCCTGGCAGCTCCCGGCCTCGATACTGCTTTTCAAATTTCCAGACTTCATTATATAAAATATCATAACCTACAGTAGGAGGTGACTGTTAAGATTCTAAGAGGACTTGCAAATATTTTCCTAAACAAGCCCATTCTGACCTTGCTGGATTGACTGAGATATAACAAAGCAAATAAATATCCGCAAATTGAACGATATTTGGGGTTATAAGGAAGAATGCAGCCTTGAGGCAAAAGGCAAGTTCAGTGCCAGAGACCATGGCAGAATCCAACAGATGGAAACCAGAGGAAGACATGGCATCAAAAATACCTTGGGTGTGTGGGTTTATGAACCCAGCTGTATTTGAGCAAAGAAGAGACAGAGTACATAGCTCACAGGCCCTGTGACCCCCCAGACAGCATCAAGAGCTGGGTGGGAGGAGGGGTGCCTCTCAGCAAGAGATTACAGGGCAAATAGGAACCTGGATGGCCCCAGTGTGACCTGATCTCCCTCTGTTCATGAGACAAAACACTTAGTCCCTCTCCCCACTACTGGAAATGGGCAGCAGACTCAGACAGTCCCAGCTTCCCCTGTGGCAAACTAGCTGTTTTTATCTTTTTATTTTTTTATTTTATCACTTTATGTGTATAGGCATTTTGCCTGCAAATATGTCTCTGCACAATGTGCATACAATGCCTCTAGAAGTCAGAGAAATCCCCTGGGATTGAATTTACAAATGGTTATGAGTCACCATGTGGGTGCTAGGTTTCAAACCTAGATCAACTGGAAGAACAGCCAGTGCTCTTAACCACTGATCCATCACTCTAGCCCTCCAAAGAATATTTTTAACTAAAAGAAAACTTATCTCATAAACAAGACCTTAAATATATTCAGAATTGTGAACCAAGCTCCAACAGTTTAATCCTTGATTCTGGAAAGTGTCTGTCGCCGCCAGGAACTGCTCCTCTCACCAGAGTGAGGTGCCTTCCGTTCTGCTCTTTCTCCAACCTTGCAGCCTCTGCTCTACCTTCTACCTACACCATGTGTTCCAGGTGTTTCTGAAATGGAATTGCATGCCACAGATGCACCCTGTCATCAAGGCTCGTCAGCCTTCGCACCTCGTATTCCAGCTCCTTCTGTGCCTTTCTGTGAGTTAAAATACTCCATTCACTGATGACGCTAAGAGCCGAATTGTTTCCTTCAGAAGCCTGTGCTGTGGTCCCAACCACCCAGCACCTCAGGATGGGACTACGTGCAGAGGAGGGTTTTAAAAGAAATTACTAAGTGGAAAGGAGTCTCTGAGGGTGGTCTCTAATCCACTGTGTCTTGTGTCCTTAAAGGACTGACAAGGTTACATAAATACCCAGAGTGAAGGACTTGTGAAAACACAGGGAGAAGACGCCAGGTTCAGGGTAAGAGGACTTGTATGCTTGTTTGACTATTTCCTCAGAGTAGAGGAAAGAGACATCTTTCCTACTCTCTCTGGGAGTGGAAGTAGGTATCCTGTGTTCGCCTCTATGAGGGCTCACTGCTGTAACACATTCCCCATCAGTACACCAGGGCTTCCTCTTCCCAGCCTCTTCTCCAGCACCTGCCAGTGTCTGCCTTTCTAATTCTAATCACCCTGGGGTTGGGACGGGAATTAGCCTTGTGTCTTCATTTGCATTTCTGATGGCCACTGGTATTTTACTAGTCATTTGTATATCTTCTTTTTGGAAAAACATCTTTTCTAATTGGATCCTGCTCTTGTACCTTGGAGTTGTAAAGTTGCTTCACATTGTGATCTCCAGGCCTTCCTCTATCAGATACAGTGGCAAGTACTTCTGAAGGTCAGGAATGGGACAGTAACTCTTCCCTGGAGTGAGGACACTCTTCCCTGGAGTGAGGACACACAGCAGGGTCTATAGTGTTCAGTTAGTGGTATGAGTAAGGCAGACATGGGGAGCACAGTGAGGACATGGTGGAGTCACAGCCTTTAAATAAGTGTCTCACATGGCTCTCTACAAAGGCACATTGCCATCCAACCTGACCACTTGGCATGGCCTCCACTAGGGACTAAAAGATTCTACATGTAGCCTGTGGTAGATAGAACATTCTATTTTGTACACCTGTCACTCAGCCAAGCGAAGATGTTTGTCAGAACCTTTGGTGGGTTCAAACTAATCCTATGTTTTCATCAAGTCCCTTCAAGGACATCTTGGAATTCCCCTCAGCCATGGCAGCTTTCTCGGAAGAGATAAGTGATCAAAGAACAGATTTATGGAGCATTCTGGTGCTGCATGTGCTTGTATTACCTTCTCATGGCCATAATGACACGTATCAAGACACCCCCAGGCTTAAGATCCTGGACAGGAAGCAGTTTCCTCCAAGATTAAAACTTTCCATTTTGGAGGGATGCTCCTGAAGGCGTAGAATGTTAGAAAGGAGGTGAAAGAAGAGATGTTCCTAAGGGAGGTGAGTACATCCTCCTGGGAAGCTCCTTTAACTCAGGAAGTCAACAACTCAGTGACTTGAGAAAGTCCCTGAAACTGACTAGATTCACTACATTCCCCGTCCCCCCCCCCCAAGTGTATGTAAACAATAAGAACTGCTGAGACTCACACTCAGATAAACTGAACTGCCTGGAAGAAGCAGAGACCAGTCAAATTGCCTGGCAGAGGCTCAGACTAATTGAACTACCCGGAACTACCTCTCCAACCTGTTAAGCTGGCTGCGGGCAGTGCAGTGTGTTCCGGAGTTCATGAGCCATCACCCATGCTGGAGTGGGCTTTGAGATTACAGCTGTTTTGACTCTTTTTTTTTTTTTTTTTTGGATTTTTCGAGACAGGGTTTCTCTATGGTGTTAGAGCCTGTCCTGGAATTAGCTCTTGTAGACCAGGCTGGTCTCGGTGCCTGTAAATAACCCCAGACCCACATTCCTGTAAGTAAATCCAATAAAACTCATTGGTTCACCAAGTTGGACTTTGCTAGTACCTGTACTTGGTTTGTTGTCAGTTCCCTATCTGATGTATTACCAAAGTTCATAAGTTGAACTTCATTCCTAGTGGACTGGCAACTGAGAGGTGGGCCTTTAAGAAGTTACCAGGACATGGTAGCTCCATCGTTATAGAGGGATGTGTGTTCTTAGAACAGAGGCCAGAGAAAACTGGCTCTTATCCTCCACACATGAGGACCAGGCTAGATGGTGCCACCTTGGGAGTAGAGATGGAGCCCTCACCAGTCCCTTTATCTTCTGGTTCCTTGACCTTGGACTTCTTAGCACCCAGAACTGTGAGTGATGGTTTCCTATTGTCTATGACAGTGGAGTATAAGATTACTAAGGATGGCAACCCAGATCGAACAAGATACTTACCGCTTTGGAAATGTTTTTCGATCTCCTTACTCCACGAGAAGAACTCCCCTCGGATCTTGTTGAACAGGCGAGATTCCTCCTCCCCCACATTCTCCTCCCCTTGTACTAAGGCAGTGATGTCCTGGTTAAAAGCATTGATTTTCTGTCAAGAAGAAAAACATCATTATTAGCAGAAATCCTTCAAGCATGAGGTCAAGGTAGTAAAAGAACATATGTGCCCTGAAGGTGGATGAGCCACCTCCTCCACATGGGCCCAGCAGAACAGTATGGAGAAGGGACTTTGGCAGCAGGAAATACCTTCATCCCCCCTCCTCCTTTGGGAGCCTTGGGGAGAATTCTTCTGTCAGTGTGCATGAAATGAAAATGTCCCCGCAAGCCCCGCCCTGCACTCAACCATAGTCTCTGCCCCGACTCCTTTATAACACTAAATGGACAGGATGCAGCTCCATCAGCCTTGGAGGCTTGAGATCTGAAGAGCCCCAGAGAGCAGTTGCTGTGTAGACAGTGATGCCGTCCTCACGCCTGGAACTATGGGTAATGCTCACATCGATCAGGAAGAACGTTTTCCCGTCGTCATCTTCTGGTATGTCTGCACCATACTTCTGCAGCTCCTCGCTTGCAGCCTGGTAACACTTCTTTATTTGATTTTCTAACAAAGGCAGAGATTTCTGAAATGGAAGGAGATAAACGGGAGATAGAACTATAGACTGGGATGCAAAGGTGGTGCGGGACAATTCTGTATTCTGTCAATTATGTTTTAAATAAACGCTGATTGGCCAGGCAGGAAGTATAGGTGGGACAACCAGACAGGAAGTAGAGGTGGGACAATAAGAACAGGAGTTCTGGGAAGAAGGAAGCTCTTCCTGCAGTCCTGCCCAGACACAGAATAAGGAAGAGGACCTGCCCTGCTGAAAAGGGTACCCAGCCATGTGGCTTGTATATACTAGAATAATGGGCTCCAGAGGTCCTGAGTTCAATTCCCAGCAACCACATGGTGGCTCACAACCATCTGTAATGAGATCTGGCGCCCTCCTCTGGCGTGTGGGCATACATCCAGGCAGAATGTTGTATACATAATAAATAAATAAATCTTAAAAAAAGTTAATAAGAAGCCTGAGGTAATGTGCCAATCAGTTTATAAATAATGCAGTCTCTCTGTGTGATTTCTTTGGGGCTAAACGGCTGAGGAAACTGGGCAGGACAGAAACCCCAACAAACAGGCCCTCCATGTTACACAAAGGAGGCCCCAAACCTGCTCAGCGTAGTCACTGGGACACGTGGGTAACGTTCTGAAGTCTAGATACAGTTTCCCTGATGCAGAGCAGCCCTTGAGAAGCATCCCTTCCCACACAGGTTTGCCCACAACTCCATCTGGTACGCAAACCTGTCCACTGCATATGGTTGCCTCCTAAAAGAGCCACCCAGGGTCACCTCCTTCTGTATCAGGGACATGAACTCTCTTGAGGGAAATGCAACAAAGCCCTTATAGAAACTTCTGAAACAGGGGAAGTTAGAATAATACAAGACTCCTAATTCAACAAGTCAAAAGCTGCCAAGGATTCTTGTTTCCAAGGAAGGTTTCTATAGCTTTGCTGTCCCCAGGCAGCTCAAGGCACAGAACTCAGCAAGAGCAGGCCTGCCTCTGTCTGCATCAAGGAGGACCAGAGAAGGTCACTCAAGATCATGGCGCCCTGCAGATGCCCTGATCTCCACCTGCATCCTGAGGGCTGCAGGAACACCTTGAACACAGGAAGAGCCCAGGGGTTCTTCCCACAGCAGTCCTCAAGCAGGTATGGACACCAAATCCACATGTGCTGAGTATTCTCAACACCCCAGGTGAGAACTAAGGGGCTTGAGATGCAGACTCCACCAGGTCAGAGAAAGTGAACGTGGCTTCTATCTGAAGAGGCCATTTGAACTCAAACTCTCGAGGTCAGTTCCAGAATGAGGGTCTCACAGCCATGCCACCCAGAACCTAAGGGTGACTGCAGCAGGAGCCAGCACAAAGCCTTCAGATGCTGGAATGACTGACTGCCAAACACAGCATGTCTGTGCAAAGAGATCGTGACCAGCTGTGTGCCCAGAACCGTCCCGGTCCCAGCTTAGCCTGATGAAGACCCAGCCTCCCTGGCTTACACAGATGTGTGCGATGAGCTCCGTGGTCAGTCTCTCTGCCAGACAGGGCACGGTGGCCTTCCCATCCTCCAGAAGAACACTGAGGGAATAGGAGAGAGGGGCCCATTAGACTCGGCCAAAACACAAGCCAGTCTGCAGTCTGCTGTGGGGAGGCCAGGGCCAGTTTGGGAACTATCGATGAACCTTGAGATTGGTACTCATGAAGAACCCAGAGATGGTTTTGTACAGTGATACAGGGGAACGAGCTAGGATAGTTCCACAATGGGCTGCAGTAATCCCCCTCAGCACATTAATAATCAGAGTAAAATCTGTTCTCCATAAAGCATATGCACACAACCACAGCTATGTTATCATAGCACAATATCCCATTCCATGTGTGATACATGTGAACACACATGCACACATCTTTTGTGTTTCATATACAAGTATACAACACAACCTTCCATGCATGATATGTTAGTAAAAACACACATATGTATAATACATATAAGTAAACACACCCTTCCATATAGGCTGTACATAGGAGAACACACATACATACATAATACACAAGAATACATATAGATCCAGGTCTTTTAACAAAGTCACTGACATGCATTTGCATATGTAGGATGAACAAGTGAAGTGGGGAGACACACTCTGCTTCAAGAAAGCATTTAAAGACGTGAAGCTTACGTTATTCTGAGGCTGCCAAAATCTGTGTTCAGACAGCACACTGTTATGCCTTAGGATACAAGTCATCAGGGATTTAGAAGTCTTCCTGCCTGTGAGTGACTGCTAACTCTTACTGGGGCTCCAGTTTCTACACCAGTCAGTTTATTTAAACAAACTGTGGTAGAATAAAAACAATGGAAGCTTTGTTTTGCTTTGAACCAGGGTCTCTCTACATAGCCCTGGATGTCCTGGAACTCACTGTGTAGATTAGGCTGACTTCCAGTTCAGAGATCCACCTACCTCTGCCTCCTGAGTGCTGGAAGTAAAGGTGTGGTGCACACAATAGAAACTTTTAAAACAAGAAGGGCCTGGAAAGATGTATTCCAAGTTCTGAAAGATCGTAACTGTCGAGCCAGACTGTTATACCCAGCAAAGCTCTCTATTAAAATTGATGGAAAAATTAAAAAAAAATCCATGATAGAAACAGATTTAGGGAATTTGTGACTGTTAATTCCACTTTACAGAAGATCCTGGAAGAAATACAGGGCTCTGAAGAGAAGAGTAAACATAGCTAAGAAATCACAGGGAATCAAAAGAGGCCAAAGAAGACCACAAAACAAATGACAAAGCCTAAATAGTGGGGCAGGAATCTCTTGTGGGTTTGAGGCCAGCTTAGTCTACAGAGTAAAGTCTAAGACAACCAGACCTTGTTTCAAAATACAAAGTCTAAAACAAACAAAACAAAAACAAGTGACAGGAATTAGCATATATCTGTCAATAATAATTCTGAATATGAAGTCTCAGTTCCCCAATAAAGACAGACTAGCAGGTTAGATCTAAAAATAGAATCCATCTTTTTGCTGTCTCCAGAAAACACAGATTACTCTCAGTGATGGACATGACCTCAGGGTAAGGGTGGAAAAGTAAATGAATCTAGAATAAAAGTAGGTTAGATATTCTAATTTCTGAGAAAGTAGATGTCAACATAAAACTGGTCAAAAGAGATAAGGAGGGATATATAGCTTGAATTCTAATTGGTCTTAATAATAAAAACCCGGAGTCAGATATCAGGGTGAATGATGAATGATCAGAAAAGTAATAGAACCAGCCACTAGACAGACTTTTTACCTCTACTGAATCCTCAGTCCAAAGCAGGCAAGATCTTGTCTCCACAAATCCTCAGACTGAATGCACTGAGCTCCTGTCTCCTCTCCGTTTAGCCATATTCCTCCCTGTCTCTGCTTTCCTAGTGCTTGGATTAAAGGCGTGTGACTACCAAGTACTGGGATTAAAGAGTGAGCCATCACTGCCTGGCTCTGTTTCTCTTTTAGACTGGATCAATCTCCTGTAGCCCAGGCTGGCCTTGACCTCACAGAGATCAGTGTGCCTCTGCCTTCTGAGAACTGGGATGAAAGGTGTGTGCCACCATGCCTGGCCTCTATGGCTAATTAGTGGCTTAGCTCTGCACTCTTAGATCACAAAAAAAAAAAAAAAAAAAAAAAAAAAATATCACCACAGGGATCCTTTACACTGACCACAGGAACAATCTACTAAAAGGATACTGCAATCTTAAACATACAGGCATTTAACACAGGGCCACAACTTTCATTTTAAAATGCTATTAGATGTAAAACCACAGATTGACTAACACACTGATTGTGGGTGATTTCAGTACCCAACTCACGTCAACAGATAGGACATCTGGACAAGATCTAAGCAGAGAAACGTGGCCACTAAGAGATATCAGAAACCAAATGGAGCTAGGCCTGGTGATGCATGTCTTTAATCCCACACAGAAGAAGGCAGATCTCTGTGAATTTGAGGACAGCTTGTTTTTCATAGTGAGTTCCAGGACAGCCACAGATTAGTAGAGAGACTTTATCTCAAACAAACAAATGAGAGACAGTATGACAGAAAAAAAGGAAAAGGAAAAAAGAAATCAAGTGTATCTGACAGACTTCTGTAGAACATTCTACCCAAATACTAAAGAACACACATATACACATTATTTTCAGAACTCCTTGAGCTTTCTCCAAAACGTATCAGCTATTAGAACACAAGTCAAATCTCAACAAACACAGGACAATTTAAATCACATCCTGCACTCTATCTGACCATAACAGAATTAAGCAGTATATCAACGGCAACAAAAATTACAAGCAGGACACTAAACAACACCCTTCTGAATGGTGATTGTTATTAGGAAAAAATATGGAAATTAAAAAATTTCAAAAATTTGCTGGGTGGCAGAGGCACATGCCTTTAATTCCAGCACTTGGGAGGCAAAGATAAGCTGAATCTCTGAATTTGAGGTTAGCCTGGTCTACAGAGATTCAGAATAGCCAGGGCTACACAGAGAATCCCTGTCTCAAAAAGCAAACACAGAGAGAGAGAGAGAGAGAGAGAGAGAGAGAGAGAGAGAGAGAGAGAAACAAAGAAAAGGAAAAAAGAAAAAATTAAGAATTGAAGGAAAATTAAAACATAATATATATAAATCTACAGGACATAGTGAAAACAGTCCTAAGAAAAATGTTTATAGCACAAGTACATCAAAAAATTTGAGATATCATAAATTAATAACTTAATGATGCACTTGAAAGCCTCAGGAAATCAAGAGCAAACAGTACCCCCATAGATTGGATAATAAAAAATAGAATTGAAAAAAGCTACAAAGAATCAAAAAATGAGAAGTTGGATCTTTGACATGATAAAGAAGATTGACAAATCCTTGGCCAAATTTAGAGAGAGAGAGAGAGAGAGAGAGAGAGAGAGAGAGAGAGAGAGAGAAAGGTCCAATAGATGCAATAGATCCAAGTGGAGGGCAAACACTCACAAGGGCATACTTTAAAAATCTCTAATTCATGAAACTGAGAAGCCTAAAAGACATGGATGAAATTAAACCAATATGAAATAAACAGTTTAGACCAGGAATGAGATTGAAACAGTAATAAAAGTTCTCTTAACTTAAACAAGCACAGGACCAGATAGATTCACTGCAGAATTCTACCAGACTTTCAGGAAATTCACACCAGCACTGGCCAAATTCTTCTTGAAAGAGAAAATGAAGGACAGCTTCCAAACTCTTCTCTATGAAGCCATTATTATTTTGATACCAAATCCAGATAAAGACAATACAAACAAAAAAATTACAGACCAACCTCCCAGGTGAAGAAATATGCAAAAGTTTTCAATAAAATATTGGCAAACCCAAATTTATGTGCATACAAACAATATCATCCATCACAACCAAGTTTGGTTTCATTCTAAAGACGCAAGGATGGTTCAACATACGTAATTCAATTCATATTATCATCTATCACCACAGTGTACTCAAAGACAAATCATACCGTCATCTCATTAGACACAGAAGAAGACTTTGACAAAATCCAATATCTCTTCATCACAAAAACTGTAAAGATGGGGACAGAGGGAACTTGCCTCAACCTAATGACAGTATACATGACAGTGTATAAAAAATTCCTATAGACAATATCATACTAAATGGAAACAAATCAAAAAGTTCCCACTAAGATTAGGACAGCCCAAGAGAATGCTCCTGCAGTAGGGAGTTCTGAAGGTCTTGGTGCAATTTAAGCCATCATCAGCAGGTATCTTTGGGAGCTCAGATGTTATCATTCATGTCTATTGTTATCTAATGTGTCAAGCAAGAGCCTGGCCTGGTGTTCTGCAGGTGCAGAGCAGTTGTCGATGACAAGATGGCAAAGGGGCACCTAGCATGGCTCAGTGCTGCTTTTATGACATGTCAAAGGAACAGTGGGGCTCTGGGTCTCCAACTTTTCCTCTTCTCTGTTCTACTTGTAACTCTACTTCCTGTACCTCTTGATTGTGGTACTTTGGCAAGCCCCCTCTTCTATTTTACTACTTACTACTCTTTAAAGACTACTTTTTATATTGTGCTTTCTTTCAGGAAAGTTTTATGGTGGTTTTGAAGGTGCAATCATCCTCGGGCTGCTGTACATATACCCTTTATGTCAAGAATTTTGTTGGCCAGTAATTTTCCCTGCATGGGACAGTATGGCAAAGGCACCTGAAGTGAGGGTGCTCCTTGAAAAAGACTTGCTCCTTCTCAAGGGCCTCAGTCAGGCTCAGCTGATTCTGGATGTCCTGCTGACCCCTGCACTTGACCACCATGTAGCCCTTCTTCAGGTGGTACACCAGGTTCCGCACCACATCAACAACTTTGTCTTCAGTACCTCTGTCAACCAGATCGGGCTTGGTCAAGATCCCTGCAAGACAGACACTGGAATCAGAGGACACACCCTGCCCCAAGATAGCAGGAAGTGTAGCTCTCACTAACCACTAGGATCCCATCTTTGGCTGGGACAGACAGAACCCATGCAAGGTAGAAGTCCATCCACCAAGTGCAGTTAGCCTTGTGAAATCAGAGAAGACCCTCAGAGCTGCAGACTCCTTCCTAGCACCTCTCCATGGCCACCACGCAGAGAGACAACAGCTATTCATCCGTTCACTCTGTGTGGACCTTACCATGGATCCTCAGCCAGTGAGTCTCAGCAAATACTATTTCCTCCCCATGCTTGCCCACCTCTGACTCCTCATGCCTTTCCTACCAGGGAGACAAGATGAAGGGCTCGCTTCCTCCCACCTCAGTGGGATCCTGGCTGTGCTGATTTTGGTCCATCTGGATTCAGGGGATGTATCCCCACTGGCACACACACCACTGTTATCTCCACTCTCCTCACCTATGGTCCTGTCCCCGTCAGGGTCCACCTCCTGAGCCATGCTCAGTGCCTCTGTGGTGGCAATGTCCACATTACTGGGGACCACCACCAGGTTGATGGTCTCCTGTTTCTGGATGTACATCTTGATGAGTCTTTTGATCTGTAAGAAATGAGATGGTGACTCCTAGTTATGGAGACGGACTGAGCGTGAGATGGTTGTGGCCATCCACTTGCTTCAGGCTTTGGCTTCCATGGACTGCACCCCTCTTTAGTGAATCCTGGCCATTCAGTCTCACTCCCGCCTCCACAAGGTCCCTCCTAGACATAGCCCTGGACATACTCCAGTGCCCCTTGCAGCCCAGTGTGGGTCAGAGTAGAGTCTAGAGTCTCACCTGCTGTCCGATGTCTGCAGGCTGGTTGCCCACAGCCACCCTGGTGATCCCAGGCAGGTCAATCAGGGTCAGGTCCGGGACATTTGGGGAGCTGACATCCAGGCTAATGAGTTTATCACTGATTCCCAGCCCTACCCCAGCAATAAAGTTCTGGCCTGTAGAGGAGGGAAAAGGAAGTCTGGTTAAGCTTTGTGGGGCGGGATAGGGAGAATAGACTGAGGGAATCTAGACTAGATAGATGGAGGGGATCTTCTTCCAGGGAACTTTGGGAAAGCATGTCTTGGCTGTGCATGACCCCACAGGTTCCTGTATTGAAAAGTTGGATTGGTCCCCAACTGGTCATAATTTAAGCTTCTAGACACTTTGTGAGGTGGAACCCCGCTAGAGGAAGTAGGTCACTGGGGGACAGGTCCATATGTCTCATTTCTGGCTCTTTCCTGTGGCACTCAGCTTCTCTCTGTCAACACTTGTCCCTGCCATAATGATGTTCCTCCCAGGAGCATAGGAAAAGGTCACCATAGACAAAAGCCCTCTGAATCCAGGAGAGAAAGTATTTTCCCTGAAAGGTGTCCTGGGAGGTATTGGGCCACAGCCACTGAGAAGGAATACAGAGTCTCTTCTGTGCGGGGGTCCTGGGTGACAGCAGGTTGGAAGGGGTCTCATTTGTGTGTGTGTGTGTGTGTGTGTGTGTGTGTGTGTGTGTGTGTGTGCTGGAACAGGGTCCTGACAGAATGACTCTACACTTCTCCTCCGACTCCAAGCAAGGTTGACAGGCAGTCAGAGGATAAGGGACAATGGGACACCGACCTTTGTTGATGGCCTCTTCCACCTGGGAGGGATCTGAGAGCTCCACTTCAATGTCGTCATAAATGACCTTGCCTCTCCACTCCTCTCCTGGTTCCGACTTCCTCAGTTTCAGCACCAGAGGGCACCTGGTGACGATACCTAGGAGATGCGGTCCCTGTGAGCCCAGTGTTCTCCTCCTAGTATGGCACCCTCAGCTCTGTGGGGACCTTAGTGGAACCTTTAGGGTACCAGACATCTCTCACTAGCCCCCTCCCACATCCTGTTCACTGTGCCCCTCAGGCTACTTTATCCTGCCCCCTGTTATGGTCTCCTTCCAACTTCTGCCCTTTCCATGACATTTAAACTGGGTCCCTGGACCACGTCTGCTCTGACCTCTCCCTGAGCACTTGATGACCACCTCGGTCATGGAGTTTAAGCAGCCACACTAACCTGGACACCAGTCTCCTCTCCAAAAGGAATGCGTCACCTCAAAGGAAGGGTCTAGGAACCTGACCCACTTAGTCATGGCTTCTGCAAACTGCAGATTTCAAGTGACTCACAAAATGTACAATGGAGCAATAAACTGAAAGCTGCCCCCACCCCCACCCTTGTGTGGGCACCTGCCCCCACGTGCTCAGCCCGACACCTACAGTGACTGCTGGATACACAGCCTCAAAGGAGGTAACTTAGGCTCATGAAGGGCTTGGGAAGCTGCATGGGAGAAGCCCAAACCCTAAAACTGGTACCCTTGTGAGAGGAGGAAGAAACTGCTAGACTGCACAGAAGAAAGGCTGCCCTCAAGCCAAGGAGGAAGACCACCTTGACCTTTGTTCTGCTGTGTGCCCAAACTGGGAGGGGATCTGCTTCTATCTTTTGAGCCCCAGGTCCCACAGTCTAACAAGGCTATAAGCACGGAGATCTCACCGCTGCCTCTGGGGAGGGCCACTCCTGAAAGTGCTTCCAGCACAGAGCTCTTCCCTGAGCTCTGGTCCCCAATGACTGCTATGGCAGGCAGGGCCAGGTCCTGCTCCACGCCCAGGGCCCGCAGGGAGTCGATGAGGTCAATGCAGGGCCGCACCTTCTCCTCATACTGCATGCAGAGGTTGTTCACAGAGTCCTAGATGAGGGCAAAGCAAGAGTGAGGTTGTGCTCCATGGGAGTGCTCCAGCCAAGGCTGCCGGGTTCAAGGATGATGCATATGGGCAAAATACATTCGAGGAAATAAAAAGTTGATTCTTCTGTATCGAAGATGAAAATGACAGGATCTGTGTTGTTGTGCATGGCCTAAGAACCTAAAGTTCCACTTACTCCTCTTTATCAGAGCTGGACCTGCAATGTTACCCCAGGTTGACTGTCGCCAGAGAAGAGGAGTGACATGGGTATCCACGGAGGAAGTGAAACCATCCATTTTCCCTTGTTCACTGTTTTTATAGGATTACGGCAAAAACTGGACCAAGGCAGAAGTAATCTCTGTGGATACTGAATGTTAGTTCTCTACATTGTTATGGGTTGAGCCAAGGGCAGGTCACACACTCTATGCTTGTCCTCTGGCCCAACCGGGGATATGATCATGTACTGGCTATGCTCTGCCTACACAGTTGGGAGTGATGAAGCCCCATTCTATCCATTCTGACTCCAACTTTGATACTGACAAGCTCCTAGCTAATGATTGTTCTGCCTCTCTCACACAGGCAATCTTCTTGTTAGAAGACATTCTCATGTACAATTTACTGTTACAGTTGGCCTCATCAGAAGTCAGAATATCAGAAGGTCAGCCATGCCCTACACACACACACACACACACACACACACACACACACGCACACACACACACATCCTCAAGGGCTTCCTGTGAGCCTGCTGGCCTGTGTCACTGGACCAGATCCCTACTACTTTTCCTACCTGTTTGACATATCTCATAGCTAACTCCAAGCTCTCCCACTCATCTTCCTCATCTTTAGACTCCACCCTTTTAACCCTTAGTCTCTCTTTCAACCACAGTCTCGGTTTTCACTGTGATGTGTGAGCATCTTTCAGTTGTCACTCTGGACCACCTCCCCTTACTACCTACTGAGTGCCAGGGCCTGCCTCCTTAATGACAACCATAACGAGCTGGAGAGATGGCTCAGAGGTTAAGAGCATTGGCTGCTTGGCTGGTCTTCCAAAGATCCTGAGTTCAACTCCCAGCAACCACATGGTGGCTCACAATCATTTGTGATGAGATCTGGTTCCCTCTTCTGGCCTGGAGGCATAGAACACTGTATACATAATAAATAAACCTTTGAAAAAATGACAACCATCATCCAAATATTAAAGATGGTCAACAAATTTCAGGTACATGATACCCAAAAACCTACAACAAGGTATGTTTGAATCAAATGATTAAAAGCTAGTTATAAACAGAAGGTTTAAAAGTGATCAAAAAATTACACCTTACATACAGAGGAACAGACACAAGCTTGACAGCCAGTTAGTTTCTTATCAGAGCGAATGGAAGCGTGAAGATAGTGGGGTGAAATTTGCCAAAACATCTTGACAACTGGGTTGCATCTCCATTTTGAAAAGTGTTTATATTGATGCCAAAAACACCATGAACTTGGAGTTCTATACCCAGAAAAATATCTTTTTGAAATGAGGGAAGAGTGAGGCTATATCACCATGGAGAACTGGCAGGAACATCAGATGGCTGGGAATTCGTATATCTTTGGTCGGCCATGTGGCCTTTCCCTTAAAAGCTGCAAGAAGCCAGGGAGTTTTGTTTGTTTGTTTGTTGTTTTTAAGAAGTGTTAATTAAATTACAAGTCTGTTAGAAAGAAGATGAGAGTCTGGCTTACTGGTAAGTGTTGGATAGGTCATTGAACACTCTGCACATATTTTTCCCATCCCTATAGTAAAGAGATTGCTCAAATGCTCTGTTGTCACTAGATCCTATAATTTAGGGGGAAAACTAAGACTTGGAGAGTTAAGTTCACCCTGGTTGAAATATGACAGTTTAGGAGTCAGATAGCCTGTGTCCTACTCTGAAAATCTCCCATGCTGTTCTCATGAAAACCAGGAGATGATTGTTACAAATAGAAACACAAAAAATTATGTCAAAATATGGACTTTCCGGATATGAAATCTGAACAAACTTATTCCCAGCAGATCCACACTGCAGAAATTGTAAAAAGTGTGCAGAGGGAAAGGGACAGGAAAGGAATCCTAAATTCATATGAATCAGCCTGGCACAGATCTCTTATGACTTCAGCATCCTTAAGTGATACCCAAGCACAAACAGTGGTAATGGATTGTGAGGTTTTGATTAATGGATAAGGAAGACCATGGCAGATTGGATGGGGGCAAAGAGCAGAGAAAAGGTTCTTATACCACCCAGGAAGTTAGTATTCTGTCCCTCATAGATATGTTGAAATAGGAGCGGCGGGGCTGCATCCCCAGCACCCCGGCCGCCTGCTAGCTCATGCCCGAAATAACAACACACAAATTGTATTCTTTTAAACACTGCTTGCCCATTATATCTAGCCTCTTCTCGGCTAACTCTCGCACCTGGACTAGCCCATTTCTAATAATGTGTGTAAGCACCCCAAGGTGCGCTTACTGGGAAGATTCTAGCCTATGTCCATCCTGAGTCGGAGCTTCATCGCGTGTGCCCAGGAGAGCGAAGCAGGGCCTCTGCTCCAGAGAGCAGAGCTGTCGAGTCTGAGCTCACTTCCTCTTCCTCCCAGCATCCTATTCTGTTTACTCCTCCCACCTATGTTTTAACCTATCAGGGCCAAGGAGTTTCTTTATTGCTTAACCAATGAAATCAACAGATGGATATATGACACTCCCACATCATAGATAGACTTCCTGAGTTTATTAAAGGCAAGAACTACAGACACTCACATCATGTTTGTAGAAGTCAGCAGAAGATATGATAACCACTCCTAAAATATAGGTGTTTAATCTTAAACATGGAAGAATATAAGGAAAGGGGGGCGTAAGAACAAATGGCTTCACACATAAAAATGAACAGCAACAGGTGTTCTCATCTAACAGCACCATATTAAATATAAATGGCTTAAATTCTGCCCCAACAGGCAAAATGGCTCTAAAACAGAACTACAAAGTGCGAGAATGGAAGCCTCTTGTCCCGAGATGGCGATAAGGTTGGAACTGATAGGGTGTGTACTTCACAGAATGGGGCAAGACATTAGTGGAACCCAACACACAGCTCTGAAGGTCACCACATGGTATTGATACTAATAAGATACAAAAGCAATGTCTGGGAAAGGACTGGCTTTTCACCATGCCATGTTGGAATATTTCACTGTCTACATTTAAGTTAAAAGACCTAAATCGCTATCTCTCATCATAAAAATGAATTCTTGATCTATCATAGACCTAGATAGAAAAGACATAAAATACAGATATTCTTTAAAACAATAACCACAAAAATCTCCAAATGTGAGTTAGGTCCTGGCTTGTTAGAAATGACCCAAAAGGCATAATTTAGATAAAAATTATAAAGTCATGAGAGCTAAAGACCAGGTCTCCAAAAAAGGAAAAAAAAAGTGTTATCCAAGAAGCAAATGTTTGCTAAGTATATATCTGACAAAGAATTAATATTGGGTTTCAGCCTAACACAGACCACACTGACATGGACTCCCTAGCCAGATGTGGTCTGACTCCACTGAGCACACCCAGGACAGCTGTTGAGTCTGAGACCTCACTATGCCTATGGTACCCAGCAGTGAGTCTGAGTCCTGACAACATCCTGTTTTTGTGCCCTTGTAAGATCCATTTATAATATTTAATAAAATAGAAAGAAATAAGCTAAGGCACAGGTTCCCCACCCTCCAACCCTGTGAAGGAAATAACCATTGCTGGACCAGGACACCTCATCCTCTCATCACCTCTCTCCCATCACTCTCCCCTCCAGCAGGTACCTCTGCCCCAAGCTCTTGGCAATCACAGCCTTGCTTTTCAATATCATTTGCCTGTCTCTCCCCAAGCTGATACTTGTGCCATTGCCTGTGCTGAAGTTTTCTACATAGACCTATGGCCATTTCCTTTCAGCTTTGTGCTGTGGAATAATCTTTTTTATATACTTTAAAGATTTGTCATTCAGGCCAGGCGGTGGTGGTGCATGCCTTTAATCCCAGCACTCGGGAGGCAGAGGCAGGCATATCTCTGTGAGTTCGAGGCCAGCCTGGTCTACAAGACCTAGTTGCAAGGCAGGCTCTAAAAACTACAAGGAAACCCTGTCTCAAAAAACCAAAAAAAAAAAAAAAAAAAAAAAAGATTCGCCATTCAAATTGGTTTAATAAAAAACAGACTGGCCAGTAGCCAGGCAGAAAGTATAGGCAGGACAACCAAATTATACAGGATGTTGGGATAAAGAAGGATGGAGTCAGAAGGCTGGAGAGATGGCCCAGTGTAGACAGAAGTTTCTCTCCTGCCCGGCCCCACAGCCATTCAGTCCCAAAGAAACACAGAGGCTTATGTTAATTATAAACTATTTGACCTATTAGCTCAGGTTTATTATTAACTAGCAATTACAACTTAAATTAACCCATAATTTTTACCTATGTTTAACCACATGTCTTGGTACCTTTTCTCAGTGCAGCATTCTTATTTTGCTTCCTTTTTATCTGGCTTTTTGAGTGACTTTCTGCCTTTCCTCTTCCCAGAATTATTAATCTTGTTGACCCTTCTATACTTCCTGCCTGGCTGCTGACCAATTAGCAAGTTATTAAAATAATATGAGTGGCAAATCTTTATAGTATACAAGATAACTATCTCCCAGCAGCTCAACAATTGAGAGCAGTGACTGCTCTACCAGAGGACCTGAGTTCAATTCCCAGCAACCACATGGTGGCTCACAATGCCCTCCTCTGGCAAGAAGAGAAACATGCAGACAGAGCATTCTTATGCATAAATAAATTTTAAAAAAAGATAGATGAAGTCAGAAGAGTCTTGAGCAGATGCAGCAAGAAACAAGGTGGGCATGCTGTACTGAAAAAAGGTATCAAGTCACATGGCAAAGCATAGATAAGAAATATGGGTTAAATTAAAAGTTAGCAAGTAATAAGCCTAAGCTATCGGCCTGGCATTTATAATTACTATTAAGCCTCTGGTTACTTGGGAGCAGCTTGTGGAAGAGAAACTCCTGCCTACAGCTTTGTAGACTGTTGATCTTCCCTCACAGGAGGAAGGTGGAGAGGGTCATGGGATCCTCCATGAATATCCAGATACTTTTCCAGTTGTGTGTAATTCTGTTCTAACTGTACCTGGCTTTAGGACTAAGGGAGTTCTAAAGGAAATAGATGGGGAATAATGAGGGGAGGGGACATCTACACAGCCCTGGGGGAGCCATTGTCCCTGCTGGATGCAGATCTTCTAGTGTGGTTTTTTAAGGAAAGATTTATGCATTCCTGCTGTGACCCCTTCCCTATTGCTCAGCAAGGAAGCCTGATAAACTCATTGGTTCCCTGGTGACTGCTGGTGTAACTGCACTTTGGTTTGTCCTTGGGCTCTTAGAAAGATTGTCTCGTTACTTTCTCCCCCAGGGAAAGGATTATAGCAACAGCACCCCACACCCAGGCCTTGCTCCCAGCACTCCAGCAGCAGATCCTCTGGGGCTTTGTTGCTAACATCAACTGTACTCCCGAGGAGGTGCAAGAGTCTCACTTGTTCCTCCAACAGAGCACACCTGTGCCTGTTAAAGCAGATGGCTCCAGCCCTAGGTCTCTTATTTATCATAACTGAGGGTGTAGAGGAGGCTGTGCTGCTACTGTGGGTCTGAAAGCACCCAAATCAGATACCCAGTCCCTCTTTGCCTAGAAGCTGTGCTGAGAGATCATAGATAGCCTCTCGCCTGGACAGAAAAACCCAGCTACTCCCAAAGCAAGTGGGTGTGAGTGTATATGAATTTAGATCTGAAACATGCCCCCAAAGACCTCCTGAAGGTGAGGTCCCAGCTGTTCTTGGAATGTGGTGAGGTTGGACGAGTTGGGGACTACTGGGAGGGTATAGATTACTGCCAGCATGACCTTGAAATGAACTTGGAGCCCTTCCTCTACCTCTTTTCCCCCCTAGTCATTAGACACCAGTTTTGTTCCTTTATGCTATGCATTGCAGGCCTAGAACAACAGCACCTAGTGGGCATGGGATGTAATTTCTGAAACTATGAGTGAAATAACCTTTCTTCTTTACAAATTGATTCTTTTGAAAACTTGGTCACAGAAACAAAAAGCTGACTGGTGCATTGGGCGTGAGTTCCTCCTCCCTTACACTGAGGGTTATAGCCTGGGGAATGAGGATACAGTTTTGAGTGCCAGCATCAGCTACACTGACTACTCTCAACAGCAATGCTGTTAATCCCACCATGGAGATGGAAAAGCCCACTGCTGAAGAAAGGAAGACACTCCCAAGGCCAGAAAGCTGATTGGTCAGGCTGGGACCATGCTAAGGGAGCAAAAGTCCAGCAAAACTGGATCCCAATTCAATGAAAACAAATACCAAGTGGCTTCTCCAGGGAGGTAGTGTCTCAGTGAGTCATTAACATTGTAGCTGGAGATTAAGTCATGGTGTAGGCAGGGTACAGCATAGGACTGCCCAGGGCCATGCCAATTCCTAACGATACCCCTTTTCCCAGACCAAGATGGCATCCTGTGAAGGACAAGAGAGGGTCGTTGGTTTTACCTTAGCACAAGCAAAGTGAACAGTAGACTTACATTGGCATTGTGCCCCAGGAAGGTCAAGGAAGCTACCACCTCCGGGGGGGGGGGGGTGACATAAAGCATCAGCCTTCAGATGGACACTTGTCATACCTGGTTTTTCTCTTCTAGGCCAGTCTCTCCATTGGGCAATTGGTCACTGGGTAAGGTGACTGAAGCAGGGTTTCCAGATTCTTCTGTGCTAAGAACCATCTTTGATTTCTTCTTCCTGGGCATACTGTGGAAAATGAAGACTGTAAGTTAGAAAGGTTTGGAAAACAATTTTTCAGACCTTGGCTAAGATTCACAACAGAGATAACAATATTACAACCTCCATTCTTTTCTTATCAGCCCCAGGGGTCTGGGCTTCCTGGAAGCATTACCCATCACCTCTCCTTTTGGAAAGGCAGGTGTTTATTTCTGACTTGGGAAGGGGATCATGAAAGAGGAGTAATTCTAAAGGCGCTCATAGAGACTGTTAATCTAGGAAATTCTTCAGATACAGCTCTCCTCCTGCTGCTTTGGGAAGACCTAATATTACAAGGGGTCCCAGGCACTAGGATAAATACCCTTTTATCCTCTGTTTGTGCCTCATTTGTTGGTTCATGCTTGTTTTGGTCAATTTCACTGCACAATCAAGTGATATCACGGGTCTTGTGCCCAATGATCAAAGATTCCTAGTAACCACTCAAAACAAGACTTAGGCGTCTGGTCCTTTTCTGGAACCTAAGTCCTATGTGTTGTCTGCAAATCACAAGCATGTGCAATTCTTCTGAATCACCTTTGAGACTTGGTGGATCTCTGGAGCACAGCAACCTCAAGCATCACACCCTCCTCTATTCCTTCAGTGTCCTGGGCAGCCCCCTGCACTGCCAACCTGAGGTGAGTGCATCTGCCCATCTAGATCTTGCTCTAGTCAAGCACAAGCTACTCCCAGCAGTAGAGCAACCCTACTTTGCAGGGGAGCTACAGGATACCCTTGCCTCCTGTCTCCTAACTCTGTCACACTACAGATCCCATTGCACAGAGACCATCAGGGCAACCTACCACATCTTATGCAGGCTCCTGCCTCAACTGAAGTTCAACATCAGACACACACAAGTAACCCGGTGTGGTGGGCTCTAAGCATCCCTACCCAGGCAGGCCTGTGCCCATTTGTGCTGTCCTTGGGTTGATTGGCTACACCCCCACTCTATAGGAGGCAGGGGTATTTGCCAATGGCCCTAATGTGCTATTTACCATTTATTATGGACAGAGATCCCAATGGTGGGGCTCCCCTGTTATCCTGTCGGGAAAGCATCCTCAGCCCGGTTGTAAACAGGAGCAGCATGGATTAGGATTCAGAACCCCTAACCACCCTGCTTGTCCAGGAAAACTGAGATGATAAGAGTGGGAGCCTTCCCAGGCCTGTCTGGGTGTTAAAGTGGCCATAGAGAGACTCAAGAGTCTTTTTATCTCCCAGTTCCTGCCCTCCATGTCCCCCTGCAGTTGAGCCTTTGAAATGGAAGGTTTGTGGGACACCCTGCACTTTGAGCAGATGTAGGGCTTCCTGTCTAAGCACTGGAAAGACCCTGGGAATGGACAGCCCTGTCAGCCCTTCCAGCAGGGTCCCCAGAGCAGTCCTACCTGCACTTCAAAGCCTGTCCTTGGGTCACCTGTTTCCTCCCACCCTTAACAAGAGACTTCCATCTGCTTTTCCAGAGGCTCCTGGCCCATGCTGCAGGGGATCTGAAACCTTTCATCTATGCTTTAGTCCCAGACTCCGGAGATTCCAGAGACCCCAGGACCCCACCCTCTCCAGCTGCCTTCTAGCAGAGATAATAGGATTTGTGAGGTTGTTTCAGACTGTCTCTGAAATCAGTAGCGGGGTGGGACCTGCTGTGTCTAGCCCAGTAACTACCTGAGCTGCCCACTCACCCTCTAATTTTAAGGGCACTGAGCAATGTCCCACAGTGCCCTCCAGAATCTACAAGGAACCCAGCGGTATCCCCTAGCTCTGCACAGAATCCTGTGCTGTACTTACCACTCCGGGGACACTGCTCAGCATGAGAGTTCAGTTGCCGACTCCAATCTTTTAAATAGTGCTGGCTCCTCCCACTTCCCAGGGAGAACTGAAACTTAGTGAAATCGCCCCTCAAAAACAGAGATCAGAAATGAAACTCATCACAGAGTGGGAGGGGGATGGCTTGGCTGGGTCCTAAGTTGTGGAAATTGCATATTTTGGGTGCAACCCACCAAGACCAGCTGTATGGACACCAGTTCACATGACTGCCTGCTTTCCCTCAGGACCAGCCCAGCTCTGTGCAGCATCTTCCACTCCAACAGTGTGACCTCCTCTTAGCTGAATACAGCCTAGACTAGCCTTCCTTTTCATGGGGTAATCCCTGCAGCACCAGAAAGGGACAGGGACAAACTATCCCAGGAGTCACCCAGGAGCCCTGCCAGCCTTTCCCTCAGAACACAGGGATTTGCTTACTGCAGCCCTTTCCCCAAGCTGCCTATGCTGGGAACTGGCTGGACAGACACCAGGCTCCCTGTGTGTTCTCTAAGGAGCAGTGTTATCACAGGGTCTGACCTCTGTTTCTGTGGCTGAGGGCAGGGTCCATGGCTAGCACCTCGTCAATGCTGGTGACTCTTGTAGTTAGGATCAAGTACAGTGTGCAATGTTTCTGTGGCTCTAGAATGCATGGTGATGGGGACAGCAGATTCAGTCATGATGATGTCATCCTGTGCTCTGCTTTGTTTTGCTGGCCTCCTCCCTCTTACTAGCTCCCAGGCTCCCTCTTCCCCCCTCCCCGATGCATTTCTCAGTCGGCTCAGACTTAGTTTCAGTTTCATTTCTCTGGTTTTGGGAAATTACTTCAGTCTGTGCCGAGAATCGGATAGCAGATTCAGAGCTCAGGGGGAAAAGGAGAAAGCTGGAGGGAATCTAGGTGGGAGGTGCCTTAGGGAAGTGACATCCCTGCAGGGCCAGCAGCTGTGTGATCAGTGGGCACTGGGGGGAGGAGGTCTAGGGTGTGTGGCAAGAAGAGTACCCCAAGACACAGGAGAAAGAACTGAGTTGGACTGGGATCACTGGGTGGCTTTCAAAGAACCTGCCTGAGACTACTAATTGCCCTACACTCTGATTGCCTTGCTACAGGACCATCCAAACTGTTTTGATGGTGTCCAGGCCTGAAACAATTACAGAGCAAACCCAGATCTCCACTGCTTAGGCTCTGTCTCAGGGGAAGTCTCTCAGCTCCTAGGCCTCCTGTTCATTTTCTCTTCTGTGTATGTTACTGCTTCTCAGAGGTTTCATGCAGGGTGTTTGGACTGAAGAAAAGTTTCTGAGGTTGCAGCAGACAGGCACAGATACAAGTGTGCCCTGATTTAAACTAGAGGAGGCTGGGAGCAAAGGTAGTGGGTGTTGTAATCTGCTGGCCTGGCCTGTCACCTGGGTACCCTGTCCCTTTTAAGAGACAAGTCCCACGCATCCCAATCCCCCCGCCACTTCCCATCCCAACCCCCCCCC